TCAACTACATACTTGAAGATATTAGGACCACTTGGCCTCCGTGAGCTAATTTATGAAAGATGTGGACCATGTCGAAGTTACAGAGGAGTGTTTGAGTCTCAGAATTAAAAAAAAAAAAAAAATCTTTCTACTAATTTGATATATTCACAAATGCAATAAACTGATTTGTGAGGAGTCATCATTCCACCAATGGAAGCTCTCAAGGAACCGAGGATGATTTATGTGTATCTATTTGTGTGTCTGGATAAATGATGGGATGTTAAAGGACATAATTGTTTCTTAGCCTTAAAACTGATGAGTATGTGTATTTATGTGGGAATGATACCCAGAAGCTATTTGCAATATTCTGGAGGTTAGGGAAAAGGCAAATTTATCTACAATAAATCTTAAGAGCTTTAAAAAACTTCGTAATGTTTTGCACTTGGCCAGACTTACCAGGTGAATGTGGCAACACTGGTTATCATGTGGACACAAAATTCCACTGGCTGTTAGTGATGCATTACCTTTGATTTTGTGACAATTTAAAAACCAGTTATTGTTACTAACTCCTATTGGTTTGGAGGCAGAAGGATTTAAAAAAATGGAGTCCATGCCGAAAGCATATTAAAAGGATAGTTGATCACAAACAGAATTAATTTCATTCTATGGTTATTTCATGGACTCCTTTTCTGTCCAATATCTTTTGCATCTCTGAGATAAGGATGCATGATACAAGGCTAATGTGTTATATTTAATTGTGTTTTTAAAAAATTTTTTCTAGTGATTCATAAAATAAAGATGCAGTTTATAATCCATAATATTTTTAATGGTCAGAGAAATATGATAATTTGATCCAGAGCGGCTTAGAGAATTTGTATGGTTCAGGTGTGGAGACTTTCTGAATCAGGATGCTCTGTTACCTAGGACAGCTCCTTAATTTCTCTGAGACTCAGTTTTCTCATTTGTAAAGTAGGGATAATAATATCTACTTCATAGACTGCTGGTAAAAAACGGAAAGAGATGATAACCTTTTCTCTTATATCTGTCCCAAATTGCTGATGCCAGAAAGAGTTAATGCTTCTCCGAAATTGCCAAAATTACCAATAAAAAAATTACTGCAAATCTTGGAGGAGCTGACATTATTTTATTTTATTATGCAAATAATTTTGACCTCTAGAGATTATTTATTTTGCATCAGAAGCCTCAGTTCTTCTGTACTGCTAACCAGTTTATTCCATTTTGTGCAACAATTCATAATGAACCTTAAAAGAACTACTGATTATTTTAGAGTTTTTGGCTCAATTACCTGTTTCAAATGCTCAGTGACTAAGGAAAGCATGTCATTTTCTCCTCTCCTGCACACTGGTGTATAACAATAGACTTTGAATAGAGCAAATCAAAGAGACACAAATACCAGTATAAGGGGCCCATTGTGCTTAGTTTGTAGCCCTGTCACATGCTTTTAATTTAGGTTGGTTGATTGATTATGACAAACTGACAGCACATTGTTCCTCTCTTGGAGTCTCTAGACACTTTAACATTCCTACTCTCTTCTGTCCATTTTGATTCCAAAACTTAAGTGAAATGGAATTACAGCATTCACTTTGTTTTCCTGTGCTAAGTGATTATCTCTGAAGTGCAATTTTGTGATTAGACGAGATGGCATGCATACACTCAGCTAATGCTGATTTCCCCCAGGGTGCAGAACAGGTAAATTCATAATGAATGGATGTTGTGCTTTGATTTCAAATGGATGTAAAACCTCCCCATACTTGGTAGTTTTATTTTAAAAATCTATTTAATTATTCTAAAATTAACAGGAGAATATTAAAATTGAACTTTAGAAAATGGCATTTAAACATAAGTCAAGGGTGCTAACCGCTTATGAATGTTAATCCCCTTCAAAAAGTGAAAAAACAAACTTACCTGGCATAAATGGGGTGGGGGGGTGGAGGAGTGTGGTCACTGAAAATCTTCAGTTTAATTATTTATATTTTTCCTGATTATTTCAAAAATATCTGAGAGCACAGCTTAGTAATCATATTCTCAAATACTAATGTTCCTTATTTTGAAAACTACAGTAATTATTAACTAATTGGTATTATAGTATCATCATAGTTGTTTGGTCCTGAGGGGTGACTTTTTTAGGGGGAGGGGAGAGAAGAGGCAAGGAGTTAATGATTGGCACAAAATATTTTCTTTGAAATTTTATTTTATTTTTTAAAAGATTTTATTTATTTATGTGACAGAGAGAGACACAATGAGAGAGGGAACACAAGCAGAGGGAGTGGGAGAGGGAGAAGAAGCAGGCTTCCTGCTGATCAGGGAGCCCCGACATGGGGCTTCTATCCCAGCATCCTGGGACCATGACCTGAGCTGAAGGCAGCCACTTAATGCCTGAGCCACCCAGGCGCCCCTTCTCTGATATTATAAAAACAAATTTTGTCCATAAGTCAGAGAGCTCAGTTTTAAAGAGAATTTACCATCCCCAAATTAGACGTGTTTTGACCAAACCACAAAAGTAGATGACTGGTACACAAATCATACCCCTTTACTGATAAGCATTGACTATAATATTGTGAATCTTGAAGTGAGAAACATAGTATGCAATTTCTCAAACTTATTTCATTTGAAATCCTTTTTATAAAAAGTATTAACACTAGTCAGAACTTCATGGAGGCCATGTTGGTGCATGGTTGTTGGTAGTTCTTTAATCAGCTTCTTCTTCCCACACTTAAATCTCTTAGCATAATATCCAATATATATTAAGAGCTCAATATATCCTAATTATTCTTGTTATTTTAATTATCTTTCCAACTGAGTAAAAGTCATGATTTTAATAAATTGATTTTCAACAGTAAAGCACATTAATTTGGAATAAAGTGCTTTTATTCAAGGCTCAAAGAACAATCCACCCATTAAAATTTTCAATCTCCAATTATGGTCCAGTTGTATGTCCTGCGAACCATCAGTAATATTCTTTCTGGTTGAAGTGAGTCACTTTCCTGCATGTTCTGTTATCACTTGCTCTGAGGGATGTGTTACCCTCAGAGTTGTCCTCATAAATTTGGACACCTACCTAGCAGAGATGAATGGCCTACATCTTCAGTATGCACTCTGTGACACCTTGTATACTTGAGTTAACAAGGTAAGCACTTCCTAAGTACACTCAGTGAATGATTTGTTAGCCTATAGCCTGCTCTCCAAGGCAGCAATAGGAAAACTGCACATATTTATTCTCCACAGCATGGGCCTATTGGACATAACTCTTTGGGCGGAGATAGGGAAGATAAGATGTAATGCTGGTGTGATGAAAAGGACAGTTAATTGGGGGCCAGAACACCTATGGGTTGTAGTTTTAGTTCTCTTTAGTATCATAGGTCACATTTTGTAGTTTCTCTGAACCTTGGAAGTCATTTTATACTTATCGTGGGGGGTTTTGTTTGTTTGTTTTTACCTATCTTTCTTGCTAGTTTGGTAAGCTCGGTAGAGATGTCTTACTCATCATTAGATCTTTATCCCCCTTTGTACCATTGACAACACTGAAGGTGCTTAACAAAGTTGTGTTGAAAAAGTAAGGCAAGAAGGCAACCAGAAGGAAGAGAGAGGCAGAATAGAACACTATATTTAAGGCCTAAGTTCCCCTTCCCACCCCACCCCCCGCAAATTCTCTTTGAATAAAACCTTATGAAATCAAGTGCACATGGTCCTAACTTTAATGGAAGTGTAAACTTTTAGGGCTTGGAGAAGTTACCATCAGTCAGATCTTCTCTTTTTATGTATAAGAAACTGAGGCTCATGGTGATTAGGTGAGGAGTCACTTGAGTAAATGCAAAGCTGCATTCAGCCCTTCTCCCTTCCAGCTCAGCACACTCCCTCGAGTGTCCCGGGTAAGCTCAACATTACGTTATGTATGCAAATAAATCTAGAAAGATACACCCCCTACCCATTAGAATTTTGGGAAAGTGGGTGGTCTTTTACTTTCAATTCTCTATATCTTTCTTGACTTGAACAACAACAAAAAGCATAAACTACTTTTGTAACACAATAAAAAATATCATTTTGGGGAGCCTGGGTGGCTCAGTCATTAAGCGTCTGCCTTCAGCTTGGGTCATGATCCCAGACTCCTGGGATCGAGCCCCGCATCGGGCTCCCTGCTCCACGGGAAGTCTGCTTCTCCCTCTCCCACTCCCCCTGCTTCTGTTCCCTTTCTCGCTGTGTGTCTCTCTCTCTGTCAAATAAATAAATAAAATCTTTAAAAAAAATAATCATTTGGAAAAATATAATTTAAAAAAGTAATGAATTTCAATACTTTGCAGGAGTACCATATAGAATAAGTAGCAGTATGTGATAACAAAAAGTACCCTACATCATGAGTATGATTTGCTAAAGTGTATTTCTCAAGGAGTGGACTGGAAGTCACCAGCGTGTGTATTAAGTACCTCTTACCTATTGGTGAAGAGGCTGCTTAGTTATTTTTAGGTCATAATAAATGCTTGTTTATATTGCCTTAAGAGTTCAAACAACTCTATCTCCCAAAGAAGAGGCTCATCCGTCTTCCAGTGGGACCCCACCCTTCTCATGTAGTTCTTCATGGTCATATTCAAGTATTCCATCTTCTGATCTGTCAAATTCAATCCATCAAATTTTTTTTCATTAATATTTCTGACTGCCTTTCAGGGAAGAAAAAGCAAAATATTTTTAAGTAACATCAGGTATTTGTAAATCTGATTGAACTATCCTTGATTCATGCTTTCTTCCACATTTTACCTATTCTCAAAGTGCCCCGAAACTTTGACTAGCAGGAAGATGGGAGAGAGGCTATGCCAAGCCACCAGTGGTAAAGTTGGGGGTGGGAAGAATGGAGTCTCACTGCTAAAGCCAAGCAGTCTTGCATCTTATCTTTCCTGACTTTGCCCAGAGAGTTATATCCATACTTGTGTATTAATTATCCTGTATGCTAATTATCTAAAGATCAGAGTATCCATTTGACTTATTTTCCAATGTTACTATTTCTACAGCTTCTGCCACTTTTGAAGACTTTCAGATTCGTCCCCACGCTCTTTTTGTTCATTCATACAGAGCTCCAGCTTTCTGTGATCACTGTGGAGAAATGCTGTGGGGGTTGGTGCGTCAAGGCCTTAAATGTGAAGGTAAGGTCTTTCCTCCCCAATCAAGTCAATCACATGCGGGAACATACCAACTATCTGCTTATGTTGTGGCCTCTACAGTAATGTCATCTTTCCCTCAGATGTCTTCCAGCGATTTTTTTGGGTGCATGGATTCTGTTTCTGTTCATTTTGTTACATTTCCTGTCTTCAGCATATTTGCTCTGATCTAGGAAACCTGACACTCATACCATTTCCCCTGTATTTTGTAGATTTGTTTCTTTTGTGTTATTTTGGCAACAAACTAAAAATAATATTTGCTTCTTCAGTCAGGATTTGGATTAGTAGGCATTCAATAAAAGTTTGTTGAAATGAGCAGAGATTTAGGAGGTTAACCAAACCATGCAAGGTCATTCAGCTGTAGAATGGTAGACCGGAGCTTGTACCCATGTGTCTTACGTGAACAATGAATAGTGGGAATATTGAAAAGAAAATGGTGCCTTCCTAATGATCTACCATGTGGAAACTACCATGTAAGGTATTTTACATATTTTCTTAACAATGCTACAAAGTAACTTATTCCTATTTTATAGACAGCGGAACTGAGGTATGCAAGGTCATGTGGACAAAAAAATTGTCGAGCCAGGATTCAAATCAACGTAGTTCAAAAGTTGTGATGCACTGTGATTAACTTTCCCTTATGCATCCACTCGCATTAGAACTTGTGGCAGTTAAAAATGCCTCAGATAATCTCTTTGGGTTTTTGTTGCTAGATCCCTCAGAGCCCAAGTTCATTCTATCAAAGAACATTTAAAAAAAAATAACTAGAATAGTTGCTGAGCTTGTCCAATAGAATCAGAATTCAAAACCCACCCTATTTACAAAATGTGAAAAGAAATCAGAAAAAGCTCAGGAGAAAATTTGAATTTCCAAATAGCCTCAAGAAACAGTACTATTTTTAAAAATGCATAATTTAATACCAGAAGAGCTTTTAATTTATGGTTGAACAAAAATCATTTTTACTTTCTCTTTCCAGGATGTGGTCTGAATTACCATAAGAGATGTGCATTTAAAATCCCCAACAATTGCAGTGGTGTGAGGAGGAGAAGGCTCTCCAACGTTTCCCTCACTGGGCTCAGCACCGTCCGCACAGCGTCTGCTGAGCTCTCCACCAGCACCCCTGATGAGCCCCTTCTGGTACAGCCTCCTGTTTATCCATTTATCCATTTACGTGAGGAACCTGTGGGACAGTGTGGTAACAATGTCAGCCAAGACAGTGCCCTGGGAGGGAGGACACAGCCAGGGTGTTAAGGGTTAGGTTTCCTCAGGGCCTATGCTGGAGATTGGTCAGTGCTTCGTCAAATACCCAACAGCTTTGAGTTTGCTTTTATCTGTGAGCTTCGTGCAGTTAGAAATATGTGAGGTTTCATCGTGGTCGTAGGGCCAGAGCAGCGCAAACCTAGTGTGTGAATATTGCAAAACATTAGTTCGTCGAAACTTGGAAACCAGAGATAAAAGAAGTTCTCCTCTGGAGATTATTAGAGTACTTTGTGGTGTCGCTGAATATTTATTCTGGGAGAAAATTTTAAATTTGCTCTTATGAAAATAGGCAAGTCTTTAATGTCTTGGCATCAATGGCATACATTCTGTGATACTGTCAGGGTGATGCTGATGGACAAATGCTTAGAGAAAAATAGAGCTTGAATACTTTAAATATTTCCATTAGCTCTAAAATACTTACCTTACGGATATGACTTAAATATTCTTCTTTAAGGCAGTTAAATTTGGATTTTCCACACATTTAAAACCAAGTAAAAATTGTGGTAATTATGTGAATTATTTAAAGTAAGAACTTAACGGGGTGCCTGGGTGGCTCAGTCGGTTAAGCAGCTGCCTTCGGTTGGGTCATGATCCCAGCGTCCTGGGATCGAGCCCCGCATCAGGCTCCCTGCTCAGTGGAGAGCCTGCTTCTCCCTCTTCCTCTGCCTGTCTCTCTGCCTACTTGTGCTCTCTCTTTCTCTCTCTCTGTCAAATAAATAAAATCTTTAAAATAAGAACATAAGCTAACAGTGTGAGATGTTGAATTTCCCATAGTTGCTCCCTTCCCCCAAAGAATATTACAAAGAATTTTTATAATCTAGCTATTGTAAAAATCAATTAAAAACTTTAAAAATTATTACAACATTAAGGTTAAATTTATCCTTCTTGGAATGGAGAGGGGCGATAAATTTTGAAGACATCTCTAAAAAAAGGTGTATCAATGAGTCCTTTGTTTGTTACAGCGTAAACCAGACATATAGCCCAAATACATGCTCATTTTGGTAAACAGGAAAATGTCGTAGTCTGTTTTCCCAAGACTTTCTTTTGAGACTTTGTTGTGTTTTCAGTCTTTCATGAAGTGAACCTGTTGGAGGAAGGCAAGTACTTATTCCTGCCATTTAACTAGAAGAATATGTTATGTTCGGTAACTATTCAGAATGTGTATGCGTGATTTTATATTATTCCGTAATGTTGCATTAATTGGAACTAGTGATATTCTAACTGAAAGGTACTTAAATCAAAAACTATTTACTTTTTCAAATAACTCATGTCAGCTTCCCAATTCTGAAATTCCTTGATTTAGTTTGAATTTTTATAGGTAGTGATTTTTCAAGTTATAGTAGTTACTCTTGCTTTTAAGTTAGTCACTGAGACAATTCAGTTCAAGAGAATAAATATTTACAAATATAAAAAAAATAAGTTTAAGAAACAAAATTGTAAACTAATTGTATATTTCTTTCAGTTTTACCAAGGAAAGTTCTTAAAAGATTATTTAACATCCCACAAGAAATCTAAAGCTCTAAAGCCATTCATTATTAGAATAGATTAGAATCTAGATGATTAATGCTAAAGATTCTTCTTTTAGATCTATCTCAACTTTTTATAATATATACATATATATGTATACATGTTTATACATATATATACACATACATCCATGTAAATAATATAAAACATTACATATATAATTTAGATTTTGTAAGTATAAATTGAATTACATATTTAAATTATATGCATGTGTATATTTATAAATATATATAATTTATATGTAAATATAATTTAGGTTACATAACTATAGTCTTTAACATGGGTTTTTAAATCAAATTATTTAATTGCTTTATTTAACCAAATTAAATAATTATTTCATCATTTGAATTACTTGATTACAAGCTATATTTTACATGAAATGTTGAAATTCATTAGTGCTTTATTGCTGAATGGAAATTTTTATAGTAGAATGCTTAAAATGTTTTTTTTATTATTTTTAAAAATCAGATTTTAACCATGTCTGTCAAGAAGGCTTATAAGATTGTGACCAAATCAGAAATTTGTAAGGTGAGAAAATATTGGGGCCATAAAATACTTTGAAAAATATTATTATCATAAACTTCCATAACCTTGTATAAAATGCCCGACAGGTAGCCTTTACATGAGAAATGCCTTTGGAAATCATGTTTGTGACACTCTTTGACCCACTAGTTCTTAAAGTCATGTTTTCCATGTATCAAAGCTCTCTGTGCCCTCACGATATACCTATTTATCTCTTGTTTTATCCGATAACTGAGAAAGGAAGCCAACACTGGCCCACTTTGTGGAGGGCATGTATTTTCTGGTTGTCTTGGGTCATGATCATGCCTCAGCTGCTTTATGTAGGGACAAAACCACCCTGCTCTACCCAGGCATTTTGGAGTACAGTGAATATGACCTTTTTTATCCCTGGGCAAGACATAAAAGGTCAGTAATTACAGTTTAAAATTTAGAGTGAATATCTAATCAAAAGTAATATGGAAATAATAATAAAATCTTTTAGTTATATATACAATAAAAGATATTTTTCCATTTCTGAAAAAGACAATAACCAAGATATAAAGGTGGTATTGCTTATTAATCCCATTGATATCATCCATGTTGCAAGTCTGCCATGACAAGTGTATAGATTTTTTTCTCAAACATAAGAAAATGATTTTTCCTGTCCATACTTGATGGCTTATTTTGACTATAAAATCACCATTTCACAGATAAAGACACTGGTAATTCTATTAATTTATTCAGTTTTGGCACATAAATTGAATCTCAGATTTCCATATTGCTGCTAAGAAAAACAAGTATAACAACATAGATCATATGACAGGCTTTATCTGTCATCAATTTTGGCAGTAAACTGTATTCATTATAACAACCATGAGGCAATCCATCTTTTAAGAAGACTCAAAATGCAGTCAATTTGTGGCATAACAGCTCAGCGGGAGGTGTATACCTTTTTGTAAACCATCACCAGTATTAGAAGGAAATGAGAAAAACCCAATAAGTTCTTAATTAGGACACATTAATATATTTTATTATTATACATAAGTATACTTATTAAGATTATATCCATTTGATACACTTTTAAGAAAATTGCAGAAGTCAGGATTAAATGATCCTATCATTTCTCTATGCTTTACTCATCTTTTTATTTATTTTTTTCATCTTTTTATTTTTATTTACAAATGTTCTTGTGGTATTTAGGAAAAGTCAAAACCAATTGAAACCGTGTTCTATGAGACTTAGTCTTAGGCAAAAAGTTAATAATCTCTTTCAGAACTATGAAGAAGCTTATATCTGATCAACTGTCCTACAAGGGACAATCATAAAAGCTGAATAAAATATAACAGAAGAAACCAGAACAAAATAATATTTGAAGGTACCCAAGAGCAACCAAAGCAATCAGGATTTGAGGGACCGATGTCTCAGGAGGAAGGAAATCACAGAGAGGTCAGTGCACAGGATAGGCCCCCACAACAAAGAAGTATCTGGCCCCAAATGTCAGTCATGCTGAGGTTGAGAACCCCTGAGGTATAACCATGCTGGAGAATTTCCTTATTATAAAGCCGTAGTTAAGACAATGTAGTATTGCACAAGGTTTAAGTATTAAAAAACAAGGTGGTATTATGCAAGAGCAGAACAATAAACCAATCAAACAGAAAAAAGAGTCTAGAAACTACCTGTGTGTATGTATAAGCCAACTGATTGCTGACAAGGGTATCACTGCTGTGAGAAAAAGATGGTCTCTTCAACACATATTTCTGGGACCAATTGGGTATCTATCTGGAAAATATGAATCTTGACCCTACCTTACACCATATGCAAAATTAATTTAAGGTAGATTGGGAGCTTCTAGGACATAACATAAAAGAGTATCTACAAGAAATTGGGGTTGGAAGAGCTTTTTTAAACAGGACTCAAATCACTGATGTCAAAGGGAATAGAGTGATGAATTGGGCATCATTAAAATTAAGAAGTTGTTTTCAGCAAAAAATACCATTGATTGGAAAGCAAGTCACTGAATAGGAAAAGGTATTTTCAGTGTATCTGTCTTATAAAAGACTCATATCCAGAATGTATAAAGAACATCTACATAAATTTAGAAGACAGACAACTCCATTTAAGATACAGGCAAAAATACTTGAAAGGCACTTTATAAAAGAGCACAGCCAATAAACATGAAAATGTACTTTATGGCATTAGTTATCAAGGAGCCTAAAGTTAAATCAACAGTGAAATAGGTCCACACCAGAATGTCTAACACTGAAGAAAACCCTGATAATAACAAGTATTGATGAAGATACTGAGGAACTGGAACTCACAGACACTGCTACTGTGTGGATATAAATTAGTTCACAGCTTTGGACAAATGGTTGGCATTTATCGTTCTAAAGCTGAACATATGCACATCATGTGACTCCACAGTTCTACTCCTAGGTTTATATTCAACAGAAATGTGTATAGACATGTAGAGAAAACTATGTACAAGCATTTTTTTTTGTTGTTTCTTGCTTTTAAATTTTTTAGACTTCATTTTTTAGAGCAGTTTTAGGTTCTTAGCAAAATTGAAAGGAAGGTACAGAGATTTCCCATATACCACCTGCCCCCACATGTGCATTGCCTCTCCCATTATCAACATCACTCGTCAGAGCAGTACTTTTGTTAATACTGATGAGTCTACACTAACACATCATAATCACCCAAAGTCCCACTTTAGTGTTCAATCTTGTTGTACATTCTTTGGGTTTGGGCAAATGGTTAATTGTGTATTCGTCATTATGGTATCACATGAAGTATTTTCACTGCCCTAAAAATCCTCTGTGTTCTACCTGTTCTTCCCTCTTCACTTTCACCCAATCCCTGCTAACCGGTGTTCCTTTTACTTTCTCCATAGCTTTGCCTTTTGCAGAATGTCATATAGTTGGAATTATACAGTATGTACCCTTTCCACAATGGGTTCTTTTATTTAGTAATATGCATTTAAGTTTCATCCATGTCTTTTCATGGCCTGACAACTCTTCCCTTTTAGCGTGGAATAATATTCCATTGTGTAGGTATCCACAGTTTATTTATCCTTGCACGTAACACAGGACATCTCAGTGGTATTTCATTGTTTAAATTTACATTTTCTTGATGACATATGATGTGGAGCTTCTTTTCATATGCTTATTTGCTATCTCTTATATCGTCTTTTTTTGTTGTTTAAAGATTTTTATTTTTAAGTAATCTCTATGCCCAACATGGGTCTCAAACTTACAACCCTGAAATCAAGAGTCTAACGCTCTACTGACTGAGCCAGCCAGGCACCCCTTTTGCTTATACCTTTTTTTAGTGAGGTATCTATTAAGGTTTTTGGCCCATTTTTAAAATTAAGTTGTTTGTTTTCCTGTTTATTGTTTTAAAAGTTCTTTGTATATTTTAGATAACAATCTTTTATTAGATGGGTCTTTTGCAAACATTTTGCAAATATTTTCTCCCAGTGGCTTGTCTTTTAATTCTCTTGACAATGTCTTTTGCAGAGTGGAAATTTTTAATTTTAATGAAGTGCAGCTTATCAGTTGTTTCTTTCATAAATTGTGCCTTTGGTGTTATATCTCAAAAGGTATCACCATATTCAAAGTCATGTAGGTTTCATCCTATGTTATCTTCTAAGAATGTTAGAGTATTGTGTTTTACATTAAGGTCTGTTACATTACATCACTCTATTACATTGCATTGATCTATTACATTAAGGTCTATCCATTTAGAGTTAATTTTTCTGAAGTGTGTAAGGTATGTGTCTAGGTTTTTTTTCTTGCATGTGAAGTTTAGTTGTTCTAGCACAATTTGTTGAGGAAACTGCTTTTGTAAATTGTATTGCCTTTGTTTCTTTGTTCAAGACCAGTTGACTCTATTTACAAAGGACTATTTTGGGGTTCATTAATCTGATCCATCGATCTATTTGTCTCTTCTTTCACCAGTACCATACTGTCTTGATTATTGTAGCTTTATAGTAAGTCTTGAAGTCAGGTAGCATCAGTCCTCCAGTTATGTTCTTCTCCTTTAATATTATGTTGGCTATTCTGGATCTTTTTCCTTTCCTCCTAAACTTTAGAATCAGTTTGTTGATGTCCATAAAATAACTTGCTAGGATTTTGACTAGGATTGCATTGAATCTATAGATCAAGTTGAGAAGAACTGACATCTTTACAATATTAAGTTTTCCTATCCATGAACATGGAATGTCTCTCCATTATTTAGTTCTTATTTTATTCCTTTCATTAGAATTTTATAGTTTCCCTCATGCAGATCTTATACATATTTGGTTAGATTTATACCTAAGTATTTCTTTTTGAGGGGGTGCCAATGTGAATGGTATTGTTACAAGCATATTTGTATCTTTATTCATAATAGCTAAAAGCTAGAAACAAATAAATAGTTATAAAGTTATTAGGTTTCTTCATCACAGGTCATGTGAGAAAAGAATAAAATATCAGAATAATTAATAATTAAATTTAGTTCTGAAATTAATATCAGTTGATGAAAATGGGGTTATAGGAATTATATTATTTAATAAAGGGAAATAAATTCTTTGGGTGCTAAAGAAAAGTCATGTTGTCACATCATCCAATATGCATATCATTTGCATAATCAACATTGTTTTCTACAGTAGCTTTCACTACAGATGAAAAACTGTAATTCAGATGATCTTCCTTCAAGGGGAAACCAAAAATAAAAACAAAACTATAGCATAATATTACAGCCAACTGCTAAAGGAATAGGTGGCACCTATTTGGGATGAAAAATAACCTTTCTGATGACTCTTCCTTGATAGCAAAGTAGAAAGAGCTCTGTGTTCCCCCCAATTTTTTCTTTAAAGTAATGGTCCTATCACATATTCTGCAAAAAAAAAAAAAAACTTCCTGGTCAGATAATAATGGGAAGCCCTTCTCGGTCCATCCATGTATTAGACATCGTGATATTTATTAAGCATAATTATGGGTCTCAGAAGTCTTGGAATAAAGAAATCAGTGTTCCTATACTGACTCAAATATGGAATCCCTTTTTCCTCATAAAACCTAGGGATATCCTATAGGGGAAAAATGCACTTTGAGAAATGATAACTTAGTGGAATAAATGAACATATGTTGCATAGATCATCTTCAAATATCATGAGCTGAATAGCATTCAGCTGAAACTGAATGCTGATTAGAGCCCAGAGTAAAGGTACTCAGAGCTTACAAATGGGAGGAAAATCATGAACTTTACACATCAGATATGTTGATGAGGATAAGGATAAGACCTTATTTTGGAAATTGAGAAAATTGATTGATTTCCTCTCCCAAAGAGAAAGCATTGCCATCTCTGTATGAAAATGTTCCGTAAAAGCACATACAAACAGGGTTATAATTTTACCTTGTAGGGACCCAGGGCGGGCTATCCCAAGATGGGCCACTTTGGCATAAAGATTGTTTTGAGTTAAAAGCAATCAAAACCCAGCAGATGCAGGAAAAGCTCTCTGCCTCCCCCACAACTGCCTAAATTTACATTGGAAAAGAGTGCCTGTAACAGGAAGAGAGCTATTAATAGAAACTCCCCTTTACCTAAGGAACTTATCTGCATAATAGGGCAACTTTGTTTTTCCAAACATCTCTCTTCACCTTCTTGCTAAAGACCTTCTTCCCCTACATATCCTCAGGCCCTACCCCTCTCATTAGCTCATATAAGCTTCATGTTGCCTCATTGTTTTTGGAATTTCATGTCTGTGTAGATTCCCCATATGTACACCTATTAAAATTTATTTTCTCCTGTTAATCTGTCTCATGTCAATTTGCTTCTAAGTCCAACTAGAAGGACCATAAGGCAGAGGAAGGTCTTCTTCCCTAACATCCCTAAAAGTCTGTTTGGATCTGTTCAAATGAGCGGTTGTTAACCCTGAGTTCTGCACATGCTTCATGTCAATCCAGAAATGTAGCAGTTATTACTAGGTAACTAACAGTTAATCTTGGCAGAACCTCAGTCTAAATGTACACTACTTCCCAATGTCTCTGATTGTAGATTGTACATTGCAGAATAGGATATGGGGGTTCAGAGAACAATGGCCATGCATTTTTGTTAAGAAAAAGAGTCAGCTATATTTTAGTTTTGATTTGGGATGAAAAAAACATATTCAGTGTAAATACAGGATATGTATTGTTTACTTAACCAAGGTGTTTCTTACATTTTTCATTGATATTCTTCTTAAAACAATTTTTCAGAATAACCTTTCCACTTTTGAATTATACTTCAACCTTGAATGAAATCAGACAGAAAACAATGATATGCAACAAAGATTTTAAAATGAGCAAAGAATGCATTGTAGGCATATTTCTCTCATTAAAACTCTAACCCACTGTTGGACTTTCCAGGTTTGTAAACCACTGACTAATACTGATTATTCATCAGCTTATTCTTGCCTGCAGGCAGATAACAACTATGTAACATTTGATTACTTTGATGACCTTTTTCATTCTTTTCCCATTGAGAGGATGAATTATTGTGAAGAAAATCTAATCTTTCCCATAAAGGTCAAAAATGCTTCATTCTGACTATAATTTATTTTCAACAAGGTGAAAGAGCTGTCTTTCATCACTGACACCTTAACAAGTAGATTTTTTTTTTTTACTTTTCCCAACTCACAAATTGTAAACTGTGTTTTTGCAATCTTGTACTTAGTGTTCATAATTCCATTTAAATGTTAAAAAAGTCGTTTCTAACTCAGATGTCTCTGTGACCGTAAAAGCTGATTAGTGTAACATTTTGCTTGAAAATGCATCTATGTAAAACATTACTGATAACATGCCTTGCTTTCTTCAAATAACACGATTTTCTTGTCTTTTTCCCCCTTTATTCTGCACCTTTGCCTGCTTTTTGCTCTTACAACTTCATGTTTCAGTCTCCTGTGAGTCCTGGCTTTGAGGTAGGTACTAACTTTACCTGACAATAGAAATATGCTTCACCATCTTTTACAAACCAACATAATACTAATAGGTTGACATCAGACAATTATTTGTATTAACTGTATGAGAATAATCAGGTCAGAATTTAGCTCAGAATCCAACCTGTTGAACTGCAGAAAGCCCATAGGTTTTTCTAGGAAATTGAAAAGACAGGTTGAGAATAGAACAGAATAGAGTCAGCATGCACTTTACCCAGTGGCATGTTAACTGAAGTGCGTGCATATTGGAATTGTATCCTGAAGCCAAGTACCACAGAACCACGCAAAGTGAGGCCACCATCCCAATACACACACACACACACACACACACACACACACACACACACACACACA